GGAACCCAAGCTGCCATTTTTGAGATATGGACCCTGAACCCCATCACCCTCTCCGTGACTGAATTGGCGAAAGCGTGTGACCTGAAAATATGCTTTGGATTCAGCATATTTTTGTGAATATGTTTGTTGTCCATGCACCTCTGTGTCCAGTATCTGTATGTACAGTATTGTGACAGAGGACCCCTGACTGGGTAATTTGTGAAGAACAGAAATGTTTTGCTCCCGACCCTGGACAGTCTAAGATCAAAGTGCCAACATCTGATGAGGTTTTCCCTGCATCCTCACATGGTAGAAAGCAGGAGAGAGGGAAGACAAATTCACACCCAACTGATCATGGCTGCAGAACATTAATGACCTAACTACCTCCAGAAGCATGTACTGAGAAGTGTTGTCAACATATGAATTGGAGGAGACACATCCAGACCATAGTACACACTCATTTACATGAACATACATATATCATACATAGCAGTCTGTGCATATGTTATAACACACATAAGCCTCTACACTCATGCATATAACTGTTTCTTTTTATTTTTATTAAACTTTCTTCTTATTTATTCCTTGTGTCTTTCACATCATGCATCTCCCATCCCTTCATATCTACCTTCTATCCTTGCAACCTCCCCTCCAAAATAAAATAAAATTTAGGAGGGAAAAAAATCTTGTCACAGAAGCTGTGGTGTGACACAGTGAGTCACGCAGTAAACCCTTTTGTCCACATATCTTTACTTGCAAGTGTCATTGCAAAGAGTCATTGGTCTGGTCCGAGGCCTCTGGTTTCTGCTACACTACTGATGCTGGACCCTCAGTGGGACTCCTCTTGAATATCCTGCTGTTGCCCTGTGTTGTGGCGATGCTGCAACTTTGGATCTGTACGACCAGCCCCTTCACGTGCTCCCATAGATCATAGATGGGGTGGATATTGGGGTGGGCCAACTCATACCCCTGGTTCAGGGCCCAGGTAGTTGCAGGGTTGGTCAGCCCACCAGCTTTCCTCCATCCTCACCACCAGGGTGAGCTTTCCAGCATTGCCTTGCCTACTTCACCCCCTAGCACAAGGTTCACCCCTATGAGCAAGGGGTGGGGCTGATTCTCCTACTTTCAGACCCTCAGGGTTGGCTCTCCCACACCTGGACCATCAGGGCCAGCTCTACTGTGCTGCCCAGGGGAGGTGCAGGGGCCATTTTCCCGAGTGCTGCAGCTGGTGAGGGCCAGGGACAGCTCTCCTGCTCATGTGACCTCAGAGCCAGCTCTCCCACCTGCAGTAGGCAGCATGGGGCCGGGAGAAGAGGCATCTCCCCTCCCCCAAGCCCCCCCCCACCATATGGCAGATGAGGGGCGGGGCAAGAGCTCCCATTCTCCGGGCAGTTCACCTGCACCCCAGTCAATAGGGTCAGCTCTGCTGTGCTGCCCAGTTGAGGTGCAGGGCCCACTTTCCCGAGTGCTGAAGCTGGGAAGGGGTATGCCTGTTTCTTAATAACATGCTTTTAACAGTTAAATCAAGCATGTTGTTGCACCTATGAATTTATAATAGTTTGCTTCTTATTAAATGATTTTATTTTTTGTCATTTTAGGTTTTGTTTGTTTGGTTTTTTTTGTTTTTTGTTTTGTTTTGTTTTGTTTTGTTTTTTTTACAGTTCAATGGTCAGATACAGCCTTGTAACCAAACTATGTTCGGATCCATGTTGTGTTTCTTTCTTTTTTTTTTTTTTTTGGTTTTTCGAGACAGGGTTTCTCTGTGTAGCTTTGCTCCTTTCCTGGAACTCACTCTGTAGCCCAGGCTGGCCTCGAACTCACAGAGATCCGCCTGGCTCTGCCTCCCGAGTGCTGGGATTAAAGACGTGCACCACCACCGCCCGGCCCGTTCTGTGTTTTCTTTTTAACTACTGTTTCAGACTGTGTGATCTAAGAGCAGAAGATAACAGGCCTTCCGGGGACCCTCTTACTGTTTGTGTGAACGTGTAGGGGAGTTGCCAGGCCGTACAGGATGACTGGGAGTTTCAGTGGGGTATTTAGCTCAGGCCCAGAGCCACCCAATCCTAGCTGATGAACTTGGATTTGGTGCCTTAACCTTTGTAGGCCCATTTCCTTGGGTTTTGTTTTGTTTCTTTGCTTGTTTGTTTGTTTGTTTTGATTTGTTTTTAAATATTTGGAAATGGACTTTTTTAAAGATTCATTTATTTTATTTCCTGTGGATGAATGGTCTGTCTCTATGCATGCCTGTTACATGCAAAGGTCAGTCAGGGTCATCGACCTCCCTGGAACTGGAGTTGAGGATGATTGCGAGGGTACATGTGAGTGCTGGAAACCCAAGTCCCTGTACAGGAGCAGCAAGCGCTGTTAACTGCTTAGCCGTCTCTCCAGGCCCCTTTCCTTGTCTTAAGCTGAGTTCCTGTCACAGGCTTTTGTGGTACTGGTGAGTGACATACAGAGTGTGAAGTACTTGGATAAGGTGCATGGTAACCTCTAAATCAGTCCGTCCAACCTAGGGATAGGACACGGACCAAACCTCCATGCTGATAGAGCCTCAGAGTCCGGGAAGAGGATGAGGGTACATGAGGGATGCTCCTGTTTATTGCTACTGAACTTCTGTTCTTTAGTCCTAACTTTCTTTCCATTGGTTTGTTTGAGTTTTGTTTGTTTGTTTGTTTTTGTTTTGGGGAGGGGGGAGTTTTGGTTTGGTTTGTTTGTTTTTTGTTTTTTGAAGACAGGGTTACTCTGTGTATCCCTCCCTGCCTGTCCTAGGACTCACTCTGTAGACCAGGCTGGCCTCAAACTCAAAGATCTCCACCTGTCTCTGCTCCCAAGTGATGGGATTTAAAGGTGTGCACCTCCACACCCAGTTCCATTCCTTGGTCTTTAACGGCGGATCAGTCCTAATGAGAAAACCCTAACTACACTTGGGGTGTGACTGCTACCTGGGAAGGTCACTGGTGTAGTCACACAGGGCCTTGTATGTAGTTTTATGCACTGCTATCCGTGTCTTGAAATTCTGTTCTGGGGCCCACAAATTAAATAGCGGTAGGGAGTCCTCCTGCCTAAGACTTTTGGAAGGATGTAGTGAGAAAACTCAGAAAGTGCTGCACATAATAATCATTAAATGGATATAAAAGTGGGGGGGGGGGCGTGTCAGGGTATGCCGTAGTGACCGTGGAGTCAGAGGACAATGTCAGGTGCCATTTCTCACCTGCCTTGTCTGAGACAGGGTCTGTTGTTCACCGATATTATCTGGCTGGGCTGCAAGCTTCCAAGGATTCTCCTGTCTCTTGGCCTCCCATCTCACCATGGGAGAACCAGCATGGCAAACACATAATACTGTGCCGGCTTTATGTGGGTTTAGGAACTCGAACTCGGGTCTTCGTTCTTGGGAAGCAAGGGCTTTACCTACTCAGCCATCCCTCTAGCCCTTGTTGCTGTTTTTCATGAGCAGAGACAATCATGATGAGAACATTTAAGATCTCTAATTATGAAAATGTCAGTCATAATGTCACTTTAAAGACAGTGAAACCAAGGCTCAAGAAATTAAATAACTCATTAAAATCACAAAATTAATGAATGCGGAGCTTAATGGCTCTTAATGCCAACTGGCTCTATTACATATTAGTTGTAGGTTTTTTCCTTCCCCGGGGAGCTCATCTCCGTGAAACCTGGTATGGAAGCTTCCTTGTTACCTGTTAGAGTTATCGGGAAGGAGGCTATGGGTAGGTTGAGCATCCCTCATCCCAAAATCTAAAATTTGAAAATGCTCCCAAACCTGAAAATTTTGTAAGTGTTGACATAATTCCTTAAATGGAAAATTCCACACTTGACCTTGTATGAGAGGTTGTAGTCAAAACATACACTGAAAACACTATACGAAATCACCTTCAGACTGTCTATAAGGCGTTTCTGAAACATACATGAATTTTATGTCAAGGTGGGTCCCATCCCTAAGATTTCACACTGTGTACCTGGGAATATTCCAGTTGCGCCCCCCTCCTCCCCAAACACTTCCAGCCCTAAGCATTTCAGATAAGGGATATTCAGCTTGTACCAGTTAACTGAGGATGGGGCCATCTGTTCTAAGACAGGGATCCATCCCTTGCTGGCCATGATGTACGCTGCCCACTCTTCCCTGCCGTAAGGTGAAGGCAGTCCATTCCACCACAGTGCTCTCATGCAGGAGGAGTTGGGCATGATGTGGGAAGGTTCTAACACAGATATGCAGGTTTGTGGCTTCGGCAGGGAAGTCAAAACGTGACCAGTTCATCTCTTAAATAGCTAGATTTGGACTTTGAGTGTAACAATGAGAGTGTTGTTTCAAAGCAACCCCGGATGCGACTGTTTGTTCGGAGGCTTTTGTAATGTGAACAGAGATTTGCAGGGAATGAGAGAAGCCATCTGTCCTGGAATAGTCTAGCAAACGACTACAGAGCAAGTTGGAGGTGGGGAGGTGGAGGTGAGTCCAGCAGGAGACTTCTGTGGTGTATCTAGTCCCCCTGTGAGGGAGCTGGCTCCTGTGTGTTCTGGAGGCCCATATGCAGCTCTCAAAGGCAACTCCATGGGAACTATGTTAAGTGAGAGCAGAGGACAAGGGAGGGACCAGGGTGACCTTGCTGGCCTTCAATCTAGCCCACATGCTTTCCAGAAAGTGAAACCATCTTGAATCTGAACTACAAAGTCAACTTTGAAGAAACCCATGCATGTTCACCTCTAAGCCATTAGCTCTGCGTGCCTTTTGATTACAATTAACTTATCAAATCCGTGCCTTTGATTACAATTAACTTATCACATGCAACAGTGACAGCCCTTGGAAGTCACAGGGTTTTTGTTTACTTACCTTCTGTGAGTATTTAAATTCTGAAATGTATTTACTGCCCACAAAATAAGGAGACAGTTTTCCTGTTTTTGTACTAAGGCTTTGTCTCAATTTGCAAAACATACTCAAGTTTTATTTTGTCCTCTAAAATCTGTGTGTGGCTTTTTCTTTTTTCTTTTTTTTTCCTTTTTGCTATTAGGCGTTCATGCAGCCTCACTTGCTGGGAAATGAGTTCACACATTTGGAGTTTCCAAGGAGAGTACAGAGGAAAGAACTGGGGAAGAAGATGCTCTACAGAGACTTTAATATGACAGGCTGGTAAGAGCTCACCTCACGCCGCCTAAGCACTATTGCACGTCACCCCCAAAAGCCACCAATGCAATTTCTACCAGGGACCTGGGCCCAAGGCGAAGGACAAGAGCCCACAACCACCAGTGGTCAGATCACCTGTGTTCCTTTGCTTCTCTGATGTTCTGAGGCCCTCCTGGGTGACACCAGAAGCCACAAACCTGACTTAATTCCTTGATTCACATGACACAGTCATTTCAAAGCTTTTCAATATATATTATACTTTATATTTTTTTAAGAGCAGGGCAATCAAAGAGATAGAAGGGATGTGACTTAGTGAGCCACGCTGGCTGGGGTTTGAATTCCAATTCTTGAGCTTCTAAATGAGCAATGTTGGATAAACTAACCCGGGAGCCCATCTTTTCATGGATGAAGTGGGAAAGGGTGTCATCTGTGAGAAATCACTGCGAAGCCTGGAGGGATGAGCTGTTTTCTTTAGAGGTGATCCTCTGTATCCATAGAGGCTAATTTGCTCCATGGTACTCTACTGATACCCAAATCCGAGGATGTTCAAGTACCTGATAGAAAATGGCACAGTGTTTGCATGTAGTCTGTGCTTATCTTCAAAAAATATCTGGGCATTTTCACTAGATGCTTTTCCATCCGCGAATGAAGGAATCCACACTTCCAGAACTTGCAGACAGCTTGGATATGTTTTATCACATTCAGGGTGAAGTAAGAACTCCTGACATGGTTGCCTTATTCCCCAAACACACCTATACAAGCACCAAGACCTTGATCTATGGCTGACCAGTTGACTAATGTTGACTAAGACCCCATTCACTCTGTCTGAATAATAGGCAGGATGATGGAGCTCCTCGAAACGAGGTTGGTGTGAGAAAACACCGCCGTCTCTCATGTTGAAGGGAGTGTGTGTCATGATAGCTCTTCTGCCCTGAGGTCCCAATGAGGGGGCCTTTTGCCAACCTGAAGGACAGGAGAAGATTGAGACCATTTTCCCTGTCCTCACCATGTGGCCAGCGGAGGCAGCAAATGTATTCTCTCTTCTTCATGGTCAGCAGTTGTAACAGATGATCATGGTCCAGATTGCCATGGTGATGACCTTGAAGCTGGGGTCATGAAGGAGCAAGTTGAACTACCCAAGGGACATAGCAACTGGGCTGAGGGACCTCTGGCTGTCCTTTTGGTTTTTTGTTTATTTTCGTCTTTCAGTAGGTGGAGAAGCAGGTCCCAACCCCAATCTACTCTTCTTCCTCTCAGATGAAATCAGTAAAACCATGGCTGGGGAGCCATTGTTGTCTGCTCATCACCTGTTTCTGTTAAATAGTGTTTAAAACCCATACGCCTGCTTGTGTCGGTGCGGTGGCGGCCTTCACATGGCCGCGGGGTACTGTGTGTTATGGAGTCGCAAGAGATCTGTGGCCCAGACAGCCCAAAAGATTTGCCCCAGCTCTAAAACGGGGGTAGAAAGTCTGAAGGGCTCATGATATTTGCAGCTATGAGTTCTTAAGTCCTGGAGTTAGTTATTCTTAGCACTTCTGATCCACTTGAGTCCAATCAGGAAAATGAGCACTTCTGATTAAAAATCAAGTATAAGGTAAGGGTGACTACGGTTTGGAAACACATGGAGGGGTTTAGATATACGTATTGTAGAATTTGGAAATGTGGCAAGAAGAGTGATGAGTGCATGCAGTCGTAAGCACGGGAAAGAAGAATCCATCTAGAAACATAAGGTGGGAAGTATCTAAACAGGGGAGAGACGTTGGCAACAGCCTGAGCTTGTATTGAAGGAGACGTGGGAAGCCAGACAGCCATTTACATTTACTGTGGGACGGTATAAACTGCTCTTGTGTGTTCCTGGGGACAATTAAATAGAAATGTTTTCAGAAGGTTATATTAAGGGAAGTGAGAGGTAGACTAACTTCAGAAAGCAGACTCGGGTACCCCTGAGGAAAATGGGCATAGATAGGTATATATAAATAAACATGATAGAGATACAGTGTGCATCTCCCAACCTAGTAAAAATGGAAATGAGCAGAGACAAAATGCGGTAGGTATAAATACAAGGAGTAATGTAGAGAAGCTTCGGTGGTCCTTTTAAACGTCTTTTCAGCTGGTGTGTAAGCTGCTTTAGAGACAGGGGTGCCTGAACCAATGCTTGTCACAGAGAAGGCAAATAGCACGTATCACAGGATGAAGGAGAGGGCATGGAATCCTTTGACCCTGAGGGGCAGGTCAGCGGGAAGGGTGCTTTTGAGATACGTTGAGATGGAGACAAGGCTGTGTGCTGCTTCTTTCCAAACCAGACGTGAGAGTCAGGTGGAAACCCTAAGAATCAATGCCTTGCCTTTCCTGAGTGTTATTTGTGGCCGATACTTGGTGTGTTAGTTCACTCGGGGTGGAGAGGTAGTGTAATGTTTCTTACTGGCTTTAGAATGCACTTGGGAGGCTTGGCGTCATCACTTTAATGGACACGATGCTTTCAATGGCTGTAACTATTCACTCAAACTGTGTGATGAGGTTAGGGTTTTTTTTTTTCAGTCTCTTGAAACGACACTTAATTTTTTTCTTTTTGAACGGCTCATATATCTTTCCCTTTAACAAAGCTAAAGTGTCCTCATTTTGTAATTTTTTTTAAAGTAAGTCCAGGAATTCGATTATATCCGACTTTCTATGCACTTTCCATAGCAGTGGGTGGGTGGCCCCTTCGTTAGCCAGGTTTCAGAGAAGTGCCTTCTCTCCCTTCCCACTCTCCATGCGTGTGTTAGCATGGCGCTCCACAGCGCTGATGAGCTGCTTTTAATTGCGTGGAACTTCACTGATGACACTCAATAATTGAGGAGCCAAGGCTGAGAATATGGCTTCAGTCGGGCAGGATTTGATTTGTTTCCAGGGTAATTCCCGGTGTGGCTGCCAACTTCCAAGCTTGGCTGTGGGCAGGATTTATGTACACCTTCCTGTTTCCTACCTGTTCTTTCTCTTGACTTGAAAATGGGACAGAGAGAGAGAGGAGGAGGAAAGCCCTCTCTATCTTTGTTGGAGGAACTTGGGAAATTTAAAACCCACTGACACCACCACAGCCTGTATAAATACCATCTCCACCCCAACTAGGATGGGTTGCATTTTATACTGTTTTCACCCTCGAGCAAAGAGCTTAAAATCAAGAATTGGCTTGTTGTTGTTTAGCTTGTTTGGTCAGTTGGGTTTTGTGTGGAGTTGTTGAAAAGGGGTCTCACGTAGCCTAAACTGGCCTAGAACTTGCCATGTAGCTAGAGATGGAAGCCAGGGTCTTGTGCATCCTAAGGAAGTGCTCTGTCATGGAGCCCCAGCCTCGGGGGTAATTTGGTCCAGTTAGATATTAGGGCTTTTACTTCTGATCTTTCCTGTCTCTTCCTCCCAAACGCTGGGATTACAGGTATATAACATCACACCCAATTTTATAGTCCTGAAGATGGAACTCGGGGCTTTATGCATGCTGGGTAAGCACTGCACCAACTGAGCTCCGACCCGTGGCCCCAAGGAGTCACTCTGAAACGTGGTGTCTGCTAACCTTTCTAGGTCATCTGTAGAGAAGACAAGGTTGCAGCATTAATTTATGGGAAGGGTGGAAGGATTTGCAGCCTGTCTCTTTTCCCAGTAAAACCTTAAATGACTACCAAGTAAGGTGTCAGAAGCTGCGGGTGGACTGCTGAGCAGTGGGAGGGTGTCCTGCTCCAGGATACAAAGGATTCCTTACCTCACTGTGCCTTGTGTTTCTTGGCTCCCAAGGTAGTCTTGGGCTATGAACTCATTTCTCTGATATATAAGGTTCTGATATATAAGATATATAAGGTTCACATGCTCCCATGCTGTTAGATTCCTGCAGGAAGTTCTTGTTTGTGGAAGAGGGTTTTGTTTGTTTGTTTTTGTTTTTACTTCCCCTATTAGTCATGATAGTAATGACTGGCTGACAGGTATTGGAAGAGCTAAGGGCCAAGCCTGTGACGAAAGCTTTCTCTAATTCCTCAGATCTTACTATTAAAGTAGGCCAGGGTACTCAGTAGATTTTTTAGGTGAAGGAACGGAGGCACGAAAGTTAATGTGCTCACGGTTGCGGGACTAGTCTGAGAAGGGGTAGGACGTGCTCCGAGACGCATCGCTTCAGATTTATACAGTTGTCCGCTGCTCCGTACTGCCAAAGGTGGACCGAGTCCCCCTTGTTTAAAGTCTCTTCACTTGAGCCCAGAAGGATTTGCAGTTTGCTCAGCTTCTGCTGGTAACACAAGTGTCAAAGTACAGACTGAAACCCAGGTGTCTGTCTCCCATTTCAAGACTCCTTCTTATCTAGTATGCCGGACAACTTTCCTGTAGGCCGGTGGTTCTCAACCTCCCTAACGCTGTGACCCTTTAACACAGTTCCTCATGTTGTGGTGACCCCCACCCCCCAACGGTAATGTTATTTCATTGCTACTTCACAACTGTAATTTTGCTACTGTTATGAATTGCAGTGTAAATATCTGATAGGTAAAGGGGTCATGACCCACAGGTTGAGAACCACCGCTATAGGGTGAGTAGGCATCTTTACTCAGTTTTGAGCTCTGATGGAAATGTAAGCAGTGCAGTGTAGCCAGGTAGTAGTGGTGCACGCCCTTAATCCAGCACTCAGGAGGGAAACAGATCTCTGTGAGTTCGAGGTCAACCTGGTCTACTACAGATGGAGTTCCAGGACAGCCAGAGCTACACAAAGAAACTCTGACTCAAAAAAAAAGGAAGAAAGAAATGTAAACAGCGGACCCCCCGCCCCATTCATACTGGTATCTCCTCAGCAGTCCTTTATGGACAGGAGGATGAAAGAATTCAGCTCAGAAACTGCAAGGCAGTGACTTTTCTCACTCCCGGTGTGACCCGATAGACCATTAGTCAAATTAAACTGGGATGCTTCCCACTTTTCACCCAGAGTCTGCACATGCTTTGGGGGATGGGGATGGTTCGGGCAGTATCTCCGAAGAACCCATGCGTAGGGAGTCGAT